AAGATATTACAGTGAAACTTTAGTCACCCTTAAAATATTCTTCAGAGGCCTCAATGCAGTGTTGAGTCCCCTCCTCCCACTTCTGGATGCAGTTCTGGAAGTCCTTGTTGATGGAAGCTCGAGGACACCTGCGATGTGTCTTGGATCTCCATTCTGTCCATGATCTTCTTCCCCTTGAGGTTCAACTTGAACTTTGGTAACAGCCAGAAGTCACAGTGGACCAGATCTGGAGAGTATGGAGGGATGGGGGACCACTGGAATGCCATGCTGTTTCCAAAGTTCAAGTTGAACCTCAAGGGGAAGAAGATCATGGACACATCACAGAAGGTGTTCTCGAGCCTCACCAACAAGAATTTCCAGATCTGCATCCAGAAGTGGGAGGAGGGGACTCAGCACTGCATTGAGGCCTTTGAAGAATATTTTAAGGGTGACTAAAGTTTCACTGTAATATCTCGAAAAATAAAGATTTTATGAAGCCAGTTCAGGAACTTTTGGATCATACCTCGTATTGTGGAGTACATTACTGTATTGTCTTTCATTCTTAGTTTAAACTGTACTTTTCATTGTTTATTAATGAAACACAGTTCTACTAAAACATTACTTACATAGTAGTATGGCAAATAAAATTATGGAGAATGCATAAGAGATCAACATTTGTAAAAAAAAATTGGGTAAAATGTTTCTTAATTTTAGACTAACACACATTTCACACGACAACCTAACAAACACTGATGATTGTAAAGTGATGATGAAAAGGTCTGGTCAAGTAAAAACTGTAATGTCTTTTCTTACTTGAGCAAAACCAATTATTTTTTTGTGAATTAAAAGACTGCATTTATTAATAAGCAATATATTATATTTTTTAATTTATCAATACATATTACTGTATTATCAGTAGCTAACTGCATAATCTTGTAAATTTGATTTCCTTGAAACAGTTGCTCTTTTAGTTTTTAGTTGCAAACTGTACAATATGAAGACACTCAAAATTTCTTAAAAAAATAACCTGTATCATTCTTATTTAGGCATAAACTGCATTGGTACAAACTTTCCGAGTAACACATGATATGCACAGTTCAGATATCAAAGTTTACTCCAGCAGGAGCCAACATCCACTACAGCAGTGTTAGATGGACTCCCAAATAGATATGAGCCAGACAGTGCTGTAACTCTCAATAAGAGATCTTAAATTCAAGCAAGATTTTTATAATAATAATAAAATACAAAGTAAATTATCATATTCATGTACAGTGAGTTCTGCTATAACGCGTGTTTTGATAACGCGAATTTGCTCTAACGCGATTTATGAATTCGGAACAATATTTGTATAACGCGATCGCTTGTTTGCTATAACGCGATTTTTGCTTACTATTTCTCCAATTTTGTGGTATTAACTGTGAATATGGTAAAGAAGAATATCTCCAAAAAGCATTCTGATGATAGAATTCCCGGTGATTATCGTAAAAGAAAGGATATAACACTTGAAGAGAAGCTTGATGTTATCAACCTCAAAATCACCCTTCTCCCCCATCAAGTTACATTCATATTTTTTCAAGGTAAAGTGTTAAATTTACTGTATGATTTCATTATTAGATATGAATGTAACATTTATTTAGACTGTGCTATCCTTTGTGTTAGGCTAACTACTAAATTTTTTCGATTTCGAGTAATCTGCACCTAACCCTATTTTCTCCATAAGCCCTGTTATTTCTATTACGCGATTTTCTATAACACGATATTTTACAAGAACACAATTATCGCGTTATAGCAGAACTACCTGTACTGGAATATTTATTGTTGCAAATTTTTTGCTGTGAAAAAAAAAATATATTATTTTGCATTAACATACCGTAATCAAATTGAAAATTATGTAGTGTATACTGAATACAAATGGGTATCTCTCACTATATGAATGTTCACTCTACCAATATTCTCTTATACTGTGCAAATATTCTATTGTTCCACCTCTCTCATTACTGTGTCAAAAAGTTATTCTCGATTATATGAGCATAGTCCTTAAGGTAATGAACCAAATTAATGTTATTAATTTTTTCATGTGTCAGGCTCTAAATTATGGTACTAGTTTCCCATAAGTAGGTCAGTTTGTTTGTGAACTGTTTTCTTTTTTAGGTATAATATCAAGGTTTTCTTGTCACTGGGGAACCAAAGCACATGTTATCTATATGTTAAGTCATTCCATTTTCAAATTTTCACTTAACAAATGGTTTTCATGGAAACAATTTGCATAGTGAGATATATATATATATATATATATATATATATATATATATATATATATATATATATATATATATATATATATATATATATATATATATATATACCCCAGTTCTCGTTTACGCGTTTATACATTTACGCGGTACCCTGCCAGAACCGGAATTCCCACTTTACGCGGTGCATCTACTCATATACGCGGGTGAAGTATAATTTTTGTATTTTGCTCATAAAATTCATACAAATTACCCGGCCAGAATATAATTTACATTTCTGGAATTCTTACAATATGATGATCATTTTGAATATAAACATCATAGATTTTGCATTAGACATACAAATTTTAGATCTAATGTAAGAATTTTGTTTACTCAGAGCAAATATGTTATCTTTTGTGCAAAATATATGAAGTGTATATTCAAAATATTCCTGGTCTTGCAAGGAATCCAGCAATGTCAATTATATTATCCTAACTTTAGTTTGAGGTATTATTTATTACTATACCTTAAAACTTAGTGTTTTCACCCAAACATTTCTCAGAGAGGGAGGAGCCAGCGAGCGTGGGAAGAGTCGAGTCGAGTCCATTATTTGAATGGACATTAACCTGGCGACTGTATTTCTCTTAAATATTAATTGTGTGTGCATACCATCATAAAATTAAGATTATATTTTTTACTAGAACATAGGTATTGTGTTGGAAAAAGTGGGGTTTGGGAGTTGGCCCAGTCTCTATTTCAATTAATCCCATATTCCATTTACGCGTTTCTCGTTTTATGCGGACCTATGCGGGCTCAATTGACCGCGTAAATCGGGGTATTACTGTGTATATATATATATATATATATATATATATATATATATATATATATATATATATATATATATATATATATATATATATATATATATATATATATATATATATATATATATATATATATATATATATATATATAGTGAGAGAAAGAGCACACGAGCACCTTAAATATACAAACTTTTGACAAATACCAATTAATATTTTAAGGGTCTTTGTTAAATTTGATATACCCCCCTGTAAAAGCAAAAACAGGTATTGTATAAAAAACAAAATCAATCAAAATGACACAACAATCTATTTTATCACATGTCTGAGAGTAAAGAGTACAACTAAATTTAAAACATAGTGTACAATAATATATTAAATCTTTTAAGTTATACAGTATACAGTACAGTAAAACCTCTCTAGGCTACAGTCTCTCAAAGGTGCAATACTGTACCAAGAAGGTCTTTTTTGGTGGGAGGGAGGGGATATTACAACTGAGAAATAAACAATAAGACTGGTGTTGAGGCTATGAAAGGTGCTGCAGCTTGGTTGAAAATCCACTTGAATAACCATCTTGCTTTGACTACATTTAGTTTCTTACATTTTACGCTGAAGCAACACGTGTGCTCTGTTTTTGTGACAGCTGCACCTAAAAGTACACCATTTATACCTCGACTCTATTGATGGTACAGTACTGTATTGCAATACAGGTATTAGGCAAATAAGGATGTAACTAAGGTGGTAGCATTTGTAATTACTGGAATTATATTGTAACCGTTAACTGTGCCTTGATATGCTGGACCAACATGTGACTGTACTGTGATTAATCTGTACGATTGTACTGCATATGTTCTGTCTGTGACAACACTGTAAAAGTGGGTCTCATAGGCCTGACTCCTAATTGTGGGCAATGCAGATAAAATAGACAAGGAGGCAGTGTGGCTAGCACCTTCACTATTGTAAAGTTAGGTACCTACTCACAGCTAGGTGGACTGAGGGTGCTCCACCAACAAACTAGCAACCTTTAGGAGTAAACATGTATGTGCTGTATCCCATAGCCACCATACCCCCTGTACTGTGTAATTCATATACTGTAATTGTTACAGTAGCATGTACTGTACATGTTCAGCATGTCAAAATAAAATTTAAATCTTCCAGGTAATAAGGCAAGAAGCTGATAAAGAATTTGACTAGTTTCACTTTATTTTGCATACATAAAGGAGGTGGGCACCTGTCATGCTGTAAATAGCACTGACTACTACTGGGTCATTTTGTTATTCAAAAACCTTTAATGATTATTATATTTTAGGGCGTGCAATATACTGTACAGGAAGATTAAAATCGGTAGGAATAAAGTCTTGATCATTATGAAGAACATTTATGTTCCTCACAATGATAAGATCAGACTGTTTTTAGGTTCCTGTTTATTGCACATCCTGAAATATAGTATGGGTATAATAATTTGAGGTTCTCGAATAAAAAAATAAAGAAGGCCCTGCATGATAACTGCCTCATCTGTCTACACCCCCTTACAGAGCTACAACTTCTGTTCCATTCTACATTACAATATTTACCTTTATCTGCTTTTTAAGTTCATTCATAAACAAATGATATAAAGAACTCCATAGGATCCGTTAGATGAGGGGTCTCGCATCTAACGGATCCTTGATATAACGGACATTTCCCCTCTACATACTGTAGTTGGTTAAATATAGGTTTCACTGTACTTATTAATACAAGTTCAAGCGAGCACTAGAAATACTTTACTGTAATTACTGATAATCTTTAAGGTCTAAATCAATATTAAGGTTGAAAATAGATGCCTCTGAAATATATCCTCAATAGCTGCATAGCCTCTCATAGTTACAACACATGGCACTCATACTGTTGCATGTCATAGAAGTTTTACTGTACCCATTGAAGAAAATAAAAAAATATATTGTAATAATTAAAAAACGTCATATTATATTAATATCAAGAATTTTAATGAATTTCATACAAATACAAAAGAAAACTAAAGATTGAGTTAATTAAAAGCACTAACTTATTCTTTGAACTTTTCCCAGTTTCGTAGTTCGTTCATGACCTGCTCTAGGTGAGGGTTGCCGCCTAGTCTCATTATTTCATCATGAGCTTCACTTTCTAATTTTTTCAGTGTTTCTTGCGTGTGTTGTAAAGATCCAAATTTTTCAAGGAGGGAGACACAATACCGTTTTACCTCAAGGTCCTTTGGTCGCTGTCGGATAATATCTGAATGGTGTAGTTAAGGGAACTTTTAATCACAAAGGTGAATATGAGTAAAAAATGATACAGTGACACCTCCAAGTAACAGACTTCTCTCTCCACATAATCCATTAGTTGGGGTTTCACATCTAATGGACCCTCGATATAACGAGACTTGCCTCTCCATTAAATAGAGGTTTCACTGTATTGTACAGTACTTTTTTTTATGGGATTAGGGGCACAGGTCAATGACCCACATCAGAGCCTGGGGGCAAAAATATAATACAGCTCCGCCCCGACTTACGACGGGGTTAGGGACCCAAATCCAGGTCGTAAGTCGAAATGGTCTTAGTCAAAAATGTTAAAATAATACATAGAAAATCTAAAATAGGTGTCTCTTTTTCTTCTCAGCACCACAAAACTCTCACTTTTAAGCTTGCCAGCCATTTTAAAGTGAATTACAAACAAAAATTTTCTGTGTACTGACGTTGGGACTCGAAAATACGTAATTTGACAAAATTTTGGTACGACTGAGGCAGGTCGTAAGTGCGGGTGGTCGTAAGTCGGGGAGGAGCTGTAATAATAATAATAATAATTATAATAACAATATTATTAATAATAATAAAGGACCATAAATAAAAAAATAAAAAAAAGATCAATAGAGAGAAACAATATATGTTTGTTGTGTTGTCAATAGTAAGAGAAACAATTGAGACCCTGCAATTGTGTGTACTGTACATGAGGCAGAAAGTCAGATCAGCAAACTGGGACTTGGTCACAATTTTTGTGATGCCATATGGCAGCAGGGTCTACCATTAGACAATATTTATATTGCTATGCATTGTTTTCACTTCCTGTACGATATACCATCTTATTATACAAGCACCTTTTTTATATACTATTTTAGTAAAGGATACTGATAACTTGTTGGTCATCTGGCTGTGTATTGATGGCGTGTATGACTGGAAAACTAAACTTGCCTTCAGTCAGATCTTCACAATAACTCTTACTGTCACTGTACTGTTGAAGAGAATATAAATATAGACACATACTAGTTAGTTATTCAGTAATTAGGTACAGTCACTCCAAACTATCTGTATTTGGATGGGATTGATGAATTTCAGAATGAACACTAACTCCTGTTGTCTCAGTAGGGTTGTCAAAATCCTTCATCAGTGGCATTATATTTTCTCAACACAATTTTGTGAAGATAAGTGTTTTGAGCGATGACATCATTACATAAGTGTTCATGAAGTTTGTTACAGACAATAATTTGTAGGAACACAAACTGCTTATTCAGTACTTGTTGTGCAAAATAAAAATGGATAGTTTTAATAAAGTAACTTGTCCATACATTTTCCTGAGGGTTGCCTATCTTTTTTTTCCCAAACACCTAACTGTATCTCACGTGGTAAATCTGCCCTCGGTTATATAGCCAATTTTATATGGGGTACTTACATCATGTCCTACAACTCCTGTACTTGTTGAATGATATCAAACTTGTCCATATTTCAATAACAATAAAAAAATTTTTTTACCTAAATCTAAAATCCTATCAATAAGTACAGATTTCCTGTCAGTGTCTTACCTATAATGTTTCCTCTCTTGGGCCTTACCTCTTTCATGCATAGATTTCCGTAATCGTCACGTATCTGGAAGTAGAGCCCTAAGATTCCTGTGATTGTAGAAAAGTCATCTTGAACTTGACTGAAGAGTTGCATCAAACGAATGGCCAAACCAAACAGTCCACCAGTCTCTAGAAATGCAAGAAAATAAATATGAAAATTCTGTTTTAATTATATCAAGGCCATAATTGTACAGTCAGTAAAATAAGTATCGACCACCCCAAGGTCCGTGGAATAGAAAACGAGTGATACAACTACAGGTATGTATACTGTAAACATTCTGGGTTCTCAAATAAAAAGAAATGACCCTGTAAACCTGTAAATACCAACACAGAAAATATCTTACTCCTAATGGTCATCTGGAGATACTCATCCTCAGAGGGACAAGTAAAGGAGTCTCGCCAGTATATCTCCATCCCTTGACCTCGATGGAGTTCAAGCAACTGCTCACAGAACACCTTAGTTGCCTGTGGAAGATAAAATGTCATAGAAAATCATTAAGAATGGTGTATGCTTGAATTTTTAATAAGATATACCTAATGATGGGTAATTTGAAAACAGAAAAATATACAAAAATAATTACCAGTAGGAGTTTGTTCAATGTACTGTACACCACCAGAGTACGTATTACAAGTAAGGGGGGGTGGGGGACACAGGCCAAAATATTTGTTCCTTGCATCGTCCAAATTTCAGCTTTCTAGCTAAATAAAGTACACAAGACAATGCCCTGATAAGGAAGACGGGAGAGTATGGGATTATTTTATTTTTATTACATATTGTTTTTAATATCATAAAGTTGGTAAAAATGGATGAAGATGCAAGTGTTGGCCAGTTAATGTTGGGTGGTGGGTGTTCAGTCGGTGAACAGGTGTGAGATGAGGATTATGCATACACACATCTCGCTTATATTGTATTTCCAATATATATATACATACATACATACATACATACATATATATATATATATATATATATATATATATATATATATATATATATATATATATATATATATATATATATATATATATATATATATATATATATATATATATATATATATATATATATATATATATATATATATATATATATATATATATATATATATATATATATATATATATATATATATATATATATATATATATATATATATGCAGTGAAACTTCTATTTAACGAACAATATGGAGAGGAAAGTTTGTTAGATGTGAAACCTCCATCTAAGTGATCACATGAGGGAGAAGTCCATTAGTATATGGAGGTTTCACTTATGTATTTCATGTTATTTTTTTTAGGAGGCATGCCTTAGAATAACGGGAATTTGTTTAAGGAGACAGTAACTGTATGTATTGACAAAAAATTTAAAATTAAAAGAATATTAAATTATGAATATTAATTGAGTGAGGTTCAGTGTACATTGTTTCTTTGATTACACAACAATATTAAGTCTCTACATGCTGTAAAACCTCGATATAATGGACTATTCTCTCCCATATACGAGTACAGTCCGTTAAATAGAGGTCTCGCTGTACCATACCTGAGGGTGATTTAGAGCAAGAACCTTCTCCAGTCCCATAAAGTAAACATAGTTAGCAGAGTTGATGGTCGAGGCAACACCATATATACTGTGAGCCACCGGGATTCCTCTTCTCAGTACGCTGTTGTCCTCAATGTCGTCTATTCTGCAAGAATTAAGCGAGGTGTAACGAACAGGCAGCCCCCGGGTTAAAAGTAACCAATATGTATGGTACTTACTGACGGATCCCAATACAGTGGTCCCTCGGTTAATGAACGGTTCGATTAACGAAATTTCGGTTAACGAATTACCTCCCATAGGTATCTTCAATTCGGTTAACGAACAAAACTTCGATTAATGAAATCCTTACGAAAAACACGTTTTGTTATGAGCATTAGTTGATCAGCTGATGGGCTAGTCTGCCAATTCAGTAATCTGTTCTATGTTTACATTCGTTTCCAGTGGAGTAAATATCAAGAAAGTTGTGCTCTTTTATATTTTTGCATTTTTTATATTACAATTATTATTCATTTTAAAATTTAGTTAGCATATTGATAATATATGCAGTACAGGGAACTAGTTTTTTGTACGCCCATCAGCCACTTGACTCACCCACCAGGCGTCAGTTTGGCTTTGTTGACAGTGGAGTGAACATCGATTTTGTTGATCATTCTGAAATTTAGTTAACATATTGATAATACCTGTATATAGCGCAGTACAGTGTTGATTTAAATAAAATAATCTTGAATTACACCTAGTGAACTTAAAATTTTATTGGTGAAATGACTGCATCAAGAATGGGTCCCCTGAAAGGTCATTTCTCCTCCATCCCCACTTCCTTCTCTTCTCCCTTCTCCTCCACCCCCACTCCTAATTCCCATCATCATCATCAACCAGGAACCTTCTACATACACACCTCAAAGTAAGTGTACTTTACTGCATTTTTTTTTTACTTTGTACTTTAATGTGAGCTGGAACCAATTACCCAATATCCCATTGAAATAATGGATTCGGTTAACAAATTTTTGGTTAACGAACAACTCTGTGGAATGAATTGTGTTCGTTAACCGAGGGACCACTGTATATACAGTATATACAGTCTCTCCTCGACTTACAACAACCCGGACATACGACGGCCATGGTCGTATAAAATATTTTTCACATTACGTATTTTCGAGTCCCTACGTTAGTGATCGGTACAGTGATCGCACCGTGTACCGACAAAATTTTCGTTTGTAATTCCATTTAAAATGGCTGGCAAGCGTAAAAGTGAGAGTTCTCGTGGTGCTGAGAAGAAAAAGAGACACCCACTTTAGAATTTCTATGAATTATTTTCGCCTTTTTGACTTACAACCTAGTCGTCGGGACAGAATCCCGTCGTAAGTTGAGGAGAGATTACGGGTATCTTGTTACTCTTCATGATAACTGTACGGTATATCACATCTATAGCTGAATTAAGGGCTTTTTTGTGCACTTAAGATACAATTAAAAATGGGTTTTACACTTAAACTATTGAAAGTACAGTACAGTGATCTTTTATTGTTTGGTTTTCAAGTTTCGGTAATTGAAGTTAATTGATCTATTAATTCACATTGAAAAAACGAACTTAAATAATTTTCATATGGCCTAAAGGAACAATTTATATTCTAGCATTTCACCACTTATCAACTTACTAGCAGTGTGGGCAGCTAGTGTTACTATGCTCCCAACCTTAAATTTACTTGAACACATCATCTTCAAGTGTAAATTAAAACTTTGTATCCCTAAAGAACTTACAAAAGACTTGCATTGTGAAGCATATGAATGACTTCTGATATTGCCATGAGTTTGTCATCGGGAATCTTCATCCAATAGTTAAAAGCTTGAGCAAGTTTCCCCCGGATCATTTTACCGGGTACTTGGAGGACATATGTGAAGGGCTGCAGTAGTACCTGTAACAAGAAATTATAATACGAGAGTAAATTTAAGTTTTCTTTGAATCAGTATACTGTAAATATTATTGTCATGTGCATTTACAAACTAAATTAAATTGCTGAAGTAACTTTTTTTAAACTTTTACACTTTAAATATTTAACAACGTAAATTCCAAATACTGTACAAGAGTATTTGTATTTTTACTTGTCATGCATACATGTACGTGATTTTTTTACGCAAATTGGTTTTCCATATACTGTACTGTACTGTATAATCATCATTACATTCTCCTAAGTTGCACAGAATAATTGTGTTTTATTTGTATAATTTTTTCTAGCCATAATAAGATATTCTTAATACTTGTCAAAAAAATCATCTTAGTAAGGTAATTGAACTCTTACCATCAAAAGTGGCAACAATGACACAAATTACCTGAACACCCAATTCCTCTATTACAGCACAACTCACCTGGTCTTGTTTTTTATCACCACTTGCACTATTTATGGTTTCCATGTTGAAGCCAGCATTGCTACCTTTGTTCTCCATTTTGGTAAACTTGTCAAGGAACACCTGAAATGATGTCTTTATTAAATATCAGATGTTACAGCAGTACATAAACAATATTGGCATTAACAGTAATGTACTTCTATATTAAAAACAAATATTTGATGTTCAGGACCTATTTATAAACGTTTTCTAACTTACTACTTTTCAGTTTCAGTCTTTAGGACGTTCATTCCGCTTACACACAAACACAACTTTTTTAACAAACTGTCACATAGCCGTGAAATGCAATAATTCAAACACATGGATGTGATAAAATTAACAATATGTGGGCATACTGCACTGTGATACAGTACTTACTTAATTTATATTTCATTCTTCAGATATGGTATTGTATTAAGATTTATATTGAAAATTACAGTATTGTATAAAAAAAACAAATTCTTCAATTTTTATAACTTCTTTATTACTGTGTTATTTAAAAATTTAGTTTTCACTTGCATCTAAGGACAAATTTATTATTTATATTGAAGAGTAGTTTCAATGGGAATTATTGATTCAGGTTACAAACATTCTCAAGAGACAAGAACACAATAAGTTTGTAAATAAGGGACTGCCGGTACAGGGTACTGTATTACACTTACTGTCCTCAATACTGTAAACCTACTTTTACCTTCTTCATATACTTAAGATGAACCAAATCTTGTAAATTCTTGTTTGGGGAATAACCTTGTTAGCTTTGCACCAGTTGTAAATTACTATTGTTCCTAACTGATGACCATGATGAACATAATTATGAATACTATTGTACTGTACAGTACAGTACACTAATAGCATTATTATTATTATTATTATTATTATTATTATTATTATTATTATTATTTATTTATTTATTTATTTATTTATTTATTTATTTATTTGTTTGTTTTTGTTTTCACCACTGATCGGCTTGTTCGATGCTTGGGCAATCAGTCACATCGCTATTGCCAAGTACTGACCATTCACTCACTCCAGAATGTATTTAAACCTGCACCATAACTATGTAGACACTCCTGAGTTCAATTTATACTGATGAGGTTATTATCTAAGAAAGACTGATGGAATGAAACAATGCAGTACAGGAATAGGGTACAGGTACCAGTAATCATTAAATATGGATTCCTGTAAGGTTACATATGCCGATCAGTGGTGAACAGGATAAAAGTAAAAAAAGTATAGTATATGTACAATACTTCACTTACCAGTACCCAAAGTTACTGATGTATTTATGAGTTCTTGTTATGGCAGATACTGTATACTGCCGTACCTGGAAATTAAGGAGGAGTCACGTGTCGAAAAAAAGAGACGTATACTACAGTAAATTATAAATGTCATCTTTAATCAGTAAATTCAACAGCTAGTTTCTACTCCGAGGCGAACTATTTCTTTTTAGGTAACACGAGATATTTTATATTTTTAAATTTGTTGTACACATATTATGCAATTCTCTTAAAAATGTGAATGCACCAAATTTAATCTAAATTTATAATTGAAGTTTTTTTGTTTGTTTTTTTCATTTTAACGTTTGGTAAGGTTAGGCAGGTTAATATGGATATCAGTTTTCTTCATTTATAAGATACGTGACTTGAAAATTTGACTAAAGGACCAACCTTACTTTGAATAATTTCTGAAAAATTGAGTTCTGTGCAATTTCTGTGGAGGTAATAATTTTCAAGGGGTAAATAATAACATGGCTTTTTGATATGTACACTCAGTACAGAATAAAAATTGCCTTTACCTTAACAGTAAATATGCCAAGTGTCAGTAAGACCCTCTGATAATGGAAAATATACCATCAATGACTTTTTATTTATCATTTCACCATTTATCAGCTTACTAGCCTTTCGGGTGATTGGTCTATCCAGTGTTAGTACAGGAGGAAACTGGGGTCATGTAAACCTGTGATGTTTGGTAGTGATGGTCACAGTGGATAACACCCTTTCCATGTGTGTCTGGAACGAGGCTTGAACCCGACAGTGGCGAGATACACACACACACATTACCACAGACAACCCTTAATGATCAAGGCCTGCTAAAATTAGACATACTGTACCAGGTAGTTCATATTAATTTTCCAAAGCAGAGGAATGTGTAAGAGAGATCATGCCATTGCCATGAGAAACATCGAGTACTGTAAAATAGCTGAGGAAGCATTCTAAAGTATTTGGAGACACAATTCTGTCAAATTTTATAAGACCCCTTGTACAGTACTAATTTTGTTAACAATTGGAAGTTCATGATTGTTTTCTAATAAAATATAATTTTTACATTTCATCTACAGGTATAAGTTAAGGTGATAGCAAAGCAAGCATTAATGATACTCGTGTTTTATCTGGGCCTTTATTTAATTATCTATAGAAATTCATAAAATAGCTACACTGTTTACGAAGAAGGCCTCACTGCTACGGTCACTAATATATTATTTAAATTGTCTTTTTCTTAGCTTTGGGGGCAGCAGGTTAAAGCACATAATTAAACTGTTACCTTAATTAATATATTGTTAATCTCATTACAAAATTATTAAAAAAAAAATATACACTTACTGTACATGTACAGAACTGAAAAACTGATAATATTTTACGATAGTCAGTAATGAGTGTTTCATGTACTGTATACTGTATTAATGTGATATTACAGGAAAGCTTACCTACACACTATACATTGTTAAAAGCTTATATTTATGTGGTCATAATTTTCCTTTAGTTGTGACAGATATTTTAACAAGATTAAAACGAAATGTAAAAAAAAATGTCCTGATGAAGAGAGGAAAAATTCTGGAGGACAAAGCACCCCCCCCCCCACCGATGCCTTCAATAAGATAAGTCCTGCATCATGTACAGTATTAGGGTGAGCCATGAGGGAAGGCCTGGCAGGCAGCATTCAAAACATTGATCAATGATTGTAGCACTACTGCAACACACCTAGTCTCATATACTGTACTGTATATACCCCCAATTTCCACGATTTTAACCATACTTTTTCGTCTAGGGTCAAAAATGTGACTTACCCAAAGATACAGAACGTTGGCTGTCACCGAAAATGAAATTCTTGTAGTGTCACGATTAAGAAGCAGGATATATCATACATCCGACGAGCTGCCAAGAAGGAACCTCTGAAATCTGTTTGTGACACCGCCTGCCTTGCCCTCCTGTCCCACTACCTATCGTTCATTTTCATAACGAACGAAATACAGTATTCTATATACTATGGATTCTTTTATAATTTCTACGTGTTTGTCATATATATCAGTGCCTTAAAATGCACTAACAGTTCATTCTTTGAAATAGTAGCGTGATATCCTTCAATGTAGTTTATATTTATCGAGAAATCAGGTTAATTTAAAATAAAACCAAACAACTTTCGGCGTCTGCAAAATCAGCTGATCTGATGCGTTTTCTATGATAAACTGATAAAGGTAAACAGAGAAAGAGAGAAATACAGTAGGACTTCCCTTTAAGAACACGGTATATAATATTAATTCATTACATACACGTAATAGGAGATTTTGAAGCGAAATTTAAAACCACGCACGATATCCACATTAAAAGTCATTAGGCAGGTGTCAGCGTTAATTAGTACCACACCTTGTGAGTGGAAAGAAGTATTACTTTTCATTCCACTTTCATAGATCGACAATAAGTGTAACCAACATTAACCTGACAGAAATACGGACTGTGAACGCAATTGTGTTAATGTATTGTACTTCTGTCATGGTTAACAATGGTAGGAAGTGATGTAGGTGACAATGGTGTTTACAAATGATTACAAGAGAATGATAGGTAAGTGTAACAGCAGCATGCATGCCCCCCTCCCCCTATATAGATACAGTATCTTATTTATCCTCTTCGTCACTTGTCATTTTTCTAGCCGGTCACATCTCTTACTCCAAAGATTTTTATGTCTGAACTTTCTTTCCAGATAACTTCTTTGTAGCTGTAACGATGTCTCCAGTCGCGTGGCCACCAGCTCACCAAGGTACAGTACTGTCATGCTGGACGAGTATAAGTTTGATGAGGTAGGTATATTTTAACCAAGAAGTTTCTATACATTTCAATCAGATCACAACCCGTAGTGTATGTAGATAAATTGGGCAACTTTAGACGGTCTAGTCTTGTTGAGTTGTACAGTATATGTTGCCGGCGCCTGTTTGAATCCCTCCTTCAGACGTTGCATTAAGTAATTTGGCCGTCTTTAGTGTATGTTACAGACTAAGAAGAACTGCAGTGCTTCAGGAGAGAGACAGCAGTACACCTTTAAAACGCCTATTTAAAAGGCGGACCACCTGAATGGTACGCCTACGTAGGGGATTTTAAATACTGTAAATCCAGTCAGTTTAGACAGGGTGGTGTTTAGAATGCAACAACGGTTCTTATAATGTAGTAAGGTGATGAGGTAATTATATCATGAGGTAACAATACTATTTACAATGTTATGAAGCAACATTGGTAGGCTTACTCATATTGTGTATAACTATTGTGTCGTGATGTAACTATGGTGCTTCTGACGTCATGGGGTAACAATGGTACTTTTGATGCCATGGATCAACATTTTTTTTTTTGTGATGATGATACTTATGACCAAAGTCGACTTTGCTTTTGGCGTTAAGGGATTCTAATATATTTGTAACCTCATGAGACAACAATAACTGTGAGGTCGTTGCGTTATTATGGCACTATTTTTAACACATTGGTAATAGTGGTACTTACAGTGTCGAAAGGCTCGAGAAGAATGAATAGACGCACATCCAGTAGCTAACATCAATAGCCATCATAATCTTTACTATACTGACGTAAATTACTTTCCAACCGCCCGTTTCTCTGATTAACATGGCTTGCACTTTTTTCTCTATGGTAAAAGTAAATTAGTTACTATTAGGCACTGTGGGCAGCGTCACCAAGAGGTAGACCTTAAATGAGAGACTAGTGTTGCGTGAGTTGGCTATTAGTCACTGTTCTTGGCTAGGCCCCGTACTTTAGATAATCGTTGCCACACATGGATTTTCTTCTGATCGTCAAATTATAAAGAATATCCAATCCGGTATGACGTATCCATGTAATTAATTTAAGTCACTAACGAGTATTTTTATGTTAGTCATTAATATAAGGAAATCACGACGTCAGTTTTGGTGTCAGGCATCTCTACTGACAAGCTGCACAGAGCTAACGGTTTGCAATCGCACGCTCAACAAACCTCCCTTACACACGTTCAGTTTTGTTTGAGCAGATTGGGGCTTATAGCATCTTCATTCCTCACATATATCATAAACTATATATTTTTAAAAGTTAAATTCCCCGTTTGAAATGTTAATATGGACGTGTTTTGCTCTTGTCATTTATAAGTGTGTAAGAGAGAGAGAGAGAGAGAGAGAGAGAGAGAGAGAGAGAGAGAGAGAGAGAGACCCTCCCTAGCCAGAAATCCTGGATCTACCCTTGGGAAATAAAGATAAGTGTGGAGTACCAGGTGGGTGTGTGATAAACAGGATGCTCAGCTCATCCTCCCTTGGTCACTGTTGGCATGTATAAAAATGAATACATTAACGATAACATCTCTTAAAACGTACAAAAACCATCGTACATTACTTAAAGAATGACCATACTGTAATATTTACACTAATGTACGTGTTCAAAAATACAGACAATTTAACGAATTAAACTTCGGTAGTGCGCAGACTTAACCGTACCCAAAGAAACCGAACTTAACCAATCTTACCCAATCTATCCAAACTAAAGTAACCTAATCTTAAAGATCTAACCTCAGTAATGGTATACGTAGAGATTATGAAACACTTTTTAAGCTGTTTTATCCAGAACACAGTTTAATGTAATAACAATTATATGAACTTGCTACATAGCCTCTGGTGTGAAAATAAACACTGCAGGTAGTAAATGAATTGACTTATTAATGTATGTCGGTACATTACTTTTATCATACTGAAATATCTTGCGTAGCTCATAAACCCTTGTGAGTCGCTGTGAACATGTTAAAGCTGCCTCAGACTGGGGGTGCCAAGCTGGCCTCCTTGAGCATAACCATCTTAATTGACAGTTCTCTGGGTGCGTCTGAAGGGTACACTGCTCTCCCGCTGCCCAGTGGCATCATGTGTGTCTGTCTGTCCGTCCGTCCGTCCACGTGTATGTGTGTCTGTTTGTTTATATGTCGTCTGTGTGAGTATACATGTACAGGTACGTGTACATGAAACCGTGAAGTGTAAGTGTACAGTTTAGTGAGCCAGGCAATGTATTCATGCGTGTGTAAAGCAGTTAATAAATATATGTGGATCTACTGTATGTATATATTTCTGGGTAGGTGCACGCATACTTTATGTACACTCAGCATATGGGTGCGTCACCATCACGAGGCCACAGACCAGCTGTACCTCATCCCCCCCGCACCCACTTCCTCCATCAACAATAACAATCACAAGATCAACAAAGTTAACACACACACACACACACACACACACACACACCTGCTCGCTGGAAATATGTCGACGACTCCACCATTGGGATCAGCGTCAACAATTCTGCTCCCAACTATACCGCCCTTCAGGATTTATTGAACAGTCTCCAAAACTGGGCCACCAACAACCATGTCACCATCAACCATACCAAGACCATGGTTATGCACATCAACCTCTCCTCCGACAATGTCCCACCTCCTTCCATTACTCTAGGTCCGAACACACTCCAGGTTGTAGATTCCACGAAGCTCCTCGGCGTCACCATAGACAACAAACTAAATTGGAAACCACACGTCAGTGAAGTTATCAAATCCTCCAGTTTCCGTCTCCACCTCCTCCGCCGACTCAAGTCCCTCGGAGTTCCTGCACACGAGCTCCTCAGTGTTTACACAACATTCATACTTCCCAAGCTCACCTATGCCTCCCCACCTGGTCTTCCTCCCTAAATGCCACACAACGTAAACACCTAGAAAAAGTGCAAAAGAGGGCATGCAAGATTATTCTCTCCCCTTCCTACTCCACATATCAAGAAGCGCTCAACACACTGACCCTTTCGACTCTCACTGACCATCACCACGACCTCATCTGCAAATTTGGTAAGAAGCTTCTACACCATCCCCGACACCGGCTCCTACTACCACCTGAGATCCCTTGTCCGAGAATTGCTGTTCGACACCACAACCGCATCCAGCCCATACGTGCACGAACTGATCGCTATAAGAACAGCCCAGTCCCAACCATTGTAAAAATTATCAATAACTTGTAATAAATCAGTGTATTCACTCCCAGTAAACACTGCTCCTTACACTGTCACTATGTTGAAATGAACTGTAGTTTGAGCTTTTCCCCATCTAGTTATTATATGTCTCATTTGTGTCACTTATGTTACTTGTATATTATTTGTAATTCGTAACCCATTCCCCAAATATGTAACTGTATATTTTCAGCCTTCTGGCTGCCAAGCTCTTTCAATAAACCGTTAATTATTATTATTATTATTATTATTATTATTATTACAGACACACACACACACACACACACACACACACACACACACACACACACACACACACACACACACACACACTACCTGTATAGTATTGCTTTAAAAGGTAGCTCAAAGCTCAAAGACTACATTGCACAAGGAAAGACACTGACATAATGGGAGACGTCCAATGAGTAATAATAATAATAATGAAAACACTGATATTATTATAAAAATAATAAAACGAAGAATAGCAAATTACTTCCAGTCAGAGCTATTTACGCACTTGCTTATGGCAGTCCATCGTAATCGATGACGAGGTTGCTTCAGGTAAATGAGTCAACGGCGGATCCAGGGGGGTCCTAGGGGTCTTGACCCCCCCTTTTCACCAGAAAATTCCAATTCTTTTACTTTAAGTTTCAATATTGAAATAGCCTGTTCCTCACCAGACCTTACCAGTTTCCTATAACGCACCACGAACTAACAACAGGTGAATCATCCTCCCCTGGTGAGGATGGCATAACCTATAACACCCTGAGATTGTTAAATGAGGTCCCCAACCATCCACTGCTTGACCTGTATCAAATGAGCCTCACACAGGGTAATCTGCCTAAGACATGGACTCATGGAAACACAGTACCAATCCCTAAAGCTAACTCTCCAAACTTCAGGCCAATTTCACTCACACCCTGTATGTGTAAAGTCCTTGAAAGGTTGTTCTCAACTGTCTCATGTTTCAAGTAAAAGACAAACTGGCCCCTAATCTGTATGGGTTCATGCCCGGGCATAGCACACAAACATGCTTTGCAGAATATCTTGTTCACTCAAAAGATAAGACACAAACAGACTTCATAGACCTTAAATCAGCCTTTGATGTAGCTAATAGAGACATTATACTTGAGCAACTAGCTAATTTTGGCATCCAAGGTAACCTCCTAACATGGATAAAGGGTTTTCTGTCCAACAGGTATGCCAGTGTTCTGTTTAGGGGAGTCAAAAATGCCAGAATGAGATCATTTGAGCTTGGCATGCCTCAGGGAGGAATGTTAATTCCTATGCTCTTTAATATAATGATGCACAAGCTTATTGCTGACATTCCAGTTCAGCCAAACGAGGCTGTAATATGCTATGGTGATGATATCTGCATTATGACACAGACCAAGCTCAGGCTCCAAGCCTTGCTGGATGTATTTGCTCGGAGGACTGTGGAATGTGGTCTCATAATATCTGTTGACAAGACGATGGTCCTCAATCCTCGTCCTGCTCACCCTCTGCCTCTTGACTTTAACATTAACAGCATGCCCTTGGAACTATGTAGCTCCTATAAATATCTTGGAATTTGTGTGAATGATGCAAACTTTGTCAGCAACTTTCGTGCCAAACTAATGCAGCCCATTAAACCCCTCAAAACCCTTGTTGGCAAGGGCTATGGAATTAACATCACCTATGCTCGTACTTTCTATCTTAATTTCATTCGTTCTTTAGTTGACTATCATGCTCTCCATCTTGTGACTATTCCGCCTAAACAACTCAACAGCCTTGAGGTAGTGCAAAATGAAGCCATGCGCATCATTCTAGGATGCCCAAAATCAACCAGAATTGTAAACATGAGGAAAGAGCTCGGGCTGCCCTCCCTATCTGAGAGGATAGCTCTACTTAATACCATGTTTTGTGTCAAAGATTTTAAGAACAATGGTCCTCAAACTACAGCTCAAACTGAGTTGATGTTCTATCTAAGTAATCCCGACCATCTCGCCAACCTTCCACAAAAGAATCTCTTTGGGGCGTGGCTTCATAAAAGTGTTGCAGATCTCCTGAAACTGAGTGTCCCAATCACCCCAGACGAACCTATTAATGCCATTCCTACTTGGCTGGATATATCAGTTCCTATTAACTACACTCCTGTTGGTAGTAAACAAATGTTAAACAAATGACAGACACATAGAGAGTATAAAATCAAGTGAATGTTATGCTTTTACTGATAGTTCTGTGCAGACAAACACAGGTAGAACAGGCTGTGCAATTGTGTATACTGTATAAAGAAAAAGAGATGATAGTGTCAAACAAGCAAAGGCTGAACAACTGGGCCGGCACAACACAAACTGAACTAACTGGAATCTACTTAGCCACAGACTACCTTAAAGAAAATGGAAGTGGGGTGATATTTTGTGACTCTCAAAGTGCTTTGAAATCAACGAACAGCCCGTCAGGTTCTATGTCTAAAGTTGTATGTGATATTAAAATAAATGTGATAACTGCCAATGAGAACAACTCTCGTATCGAATTTGTGTGGATTCCGTCCCATGTTGGAATTAGGTATCATGACCGAGCTGATAGACTGGCCAATGAGGCATGTAAGAAAGAAAATCTATCTATCTATCTATCTATCTATCTATATACTCTGTTAATGAATATGATGTATTTCTTTGTGTATGAACCTCTGTCCTGCGTGGCAGTGAGAAGTGATACTACCCTCAGTGTCAAGACCTGACTGAATTACTCAGAATAGGCAAACTGTACTCCAAGCTTTGTCAATAACTTTAATGCAGTATTGTACCCAGGCATTTTTGTATAGTAAA